GCCCGCCTCCCCCCACCCCCCTCCTCGGCTCTCCGAATGCCCTGTTTCTGTTCTCAGGTACAAGAGGTCCAGCCATGGAACGGGCCCCTGGCCCCTCTGACACCATAATTTTCCGGTGAGTTGCCCTCCCTCCCAGCGGACACGCCAAGACTGTCTTCACCTAGTTGACAAGGGGTGCAGGACGCTGGCTGGCTCGAGCCTGTTTCTTCACACTGGACTCCGGGGCAGGGAGGCCTTCGGCCCTGGCTCTGCGGCTGAGTCCAGGCTCCTGCCCTGTAAGCCCTTTGGCCTTGAACTCAGTCCCCAGGACATTTCCATGTGGCGTCCAGAGTGGCCAAGGGCGGCCCCCAAGTGGGTGACCCTGGTGCCCAGCAATATCCCAGAGTTCAGACTTTGTTCCCTACCAGCCAGCACCCAGAGCCCTTCTTCCCACTACAGGGAGAAAAAGCCAAAGGAGGCAAGCGGAGGCTTCTCCAGGCGCTGCTCGAAGCTCATCAACTCCTGTGAGTACCTTGAACCAGAGCCGCAGCTCCCCGTTCTGCCAGCTGGAGGGGGCCAGGCAGTGCATGGGGTGTGGGATCCACAGGATCTGTCTCTCTGTGCCCCCTCACTGTCACCCTCGCCCCTGTACCCCAGCCCAGCTGCTCTACCAGGAGTACAGTGATAACCCTCCCCCCCACCCCTGCACCCCAGCCCAGCTGCTCTACCAGGAGTACAGTGACGTGTTCCTCAACAAGGAGATCCAGAGTCAGCAGCGGCCGGACAGCCTGGCTGAGCCCCCCGGGCTCGCATCCCCCCGGCAGCCCCGCAAGGCCCTGGTCTCCTCCGAGTCCTATTTGCAACGCCTCTCCTCGGCCTCCAGCAGCTCGCTCTGGCAGGAAATCCCCGTGGTGCGCAACAGCACAGTGCTGCTCTCCATGACCCACGAGGACCAGAAGCTGCAGGAGGTACTGCTGGGCAGGGCAGGGGTCACCCCACTGACAGCAGGCTGTGCCCACAGCCTCACCACACTCAGGCAGGCACACCACGACTGAGTCACCTCCACACTGATGAGCCTGAGCTCGTGTCGGGTTGTCCCCGTCCCCCTTGCCACCCCTCCTGCTGTGGTCGGTTAGTGTAATCAGCGAGCATGTTAGTCTCCTAGAGCTGCCTGAACAGGAGACCACCAACGGGTGGTTTATAACAACCGAAGTTCAGTGTCATGCACTTTTGGAGCACAGCCAGGCCAGTTAAGTCAACTATTCTGATTCACGGTGACCCCATGAGTGTCAGAGTAGAACTGCACTCGGTAGGGTTTCCATGGCTGATTTTTCAGAAGTAGATCACCAGGCCTTTCTTCTGAGGTGCTTCAACCTTTCAGCTAGTAGCAGAGCACTTAACAATTTGTACCACCCAAGGACTCCTTCTAAAGGCTAGAAGTTCAGATTCAGGGTATCAGCACGGCCATGCTCTCTCCAGAAGTTCTAGGGCAGGATTCTCCCTGCTTCTCCTGGCTTTTGGTGGCCCCGGTCCTGGGGGAGAGTTCTCCCTGCTCCTCCCGGCTTCCGGCGGCCCCGGTCCCGGGGGACGGCTCTCCCCGCTCCTCCCGGCTTCCGGTGGCCCCAGCTGTTCCCTGGCTTGTAGATGTGTCTTCACAGGGCTGGCTTCCTTCTGTGTTTCTTTCTGTGCTTTTTCTCCTCTTTTATAGGGACCCCACTCAGATGGGATCCACCCTACTCCAGTGTGACCTCACACTGACCCTATTTCCAAACGAGGTCATGTTCACAGGTACCAGGGGGTTAGGACGTCCACAACTTGCTCCATCACAGCTGGGAATCATGCAGAGTGACTCTGCCTCCGAATTTCGTCGGGAGGAGAGTGGCATCCACCCATCCTGGCTGCTCAGGGTAGACTAGAGCTTCAGGCTCACTAAGGTTTCCTCTTCGGCTGAGGCCCACCAGGGCTTTATTGGGGTGCACTGCAGAGCACCCCTGCAACTGCCCTGCGGTCCCCTGGTCTCCTGGAGACCTCAGCACGCCCATCAGTCTTTGCCCCCGCCTCACTCCCAGTAGCAGGACTGCAGGAGGAGCGGTTTGTCTGGTTTTAAGTTATGACCTTGATGGGGTTTACATGGAGAGCTTCTCTGCAGTCAGCCTGAGGTGTGGGGTGGAGCCTCTTCCCAGAAAGAAACCATGGCGCAGTGGAGAGGTCTGAGACAGTCATGTTTATGCATCTGGGTTCTGGGGTAAATGCCCTGGGTATGAGGCTCACTCAGCTGCTCACCAAAATGTCAGCAGTTCAATTCCACCAGCCACTCCTTGGAAACCCTATGGGGCAGTTCTTCTCTGTCCTATAGGGTCGCTATGAGTCGGAATTGGCTCAAGGGCAATGAGGTTTTGTTTTGTTTTGTTTTCAGTATGCAGCTTTGGCCAAATTATTTGATCTTTCTAAGCCTCCATGTCCTCATCTCTGAAACTGGGATGTAAAGGGTCACTAGGAGAATCAAAAAAGATAAGTGCCGTGCATAATAATGGCTCAAAAAAACTGTTTACTACGTTAATTTGAAGTCAGGCAGACCTGGGTTTGAATCCTGGCTTCCTTCACCACTTACTAGCTGTGCAACCTGAGACAAGTTCTATAACTTCATCACCTCTCAGCTTCCTCGTCTACACACGGGGGGTATCGATGCCTGCTTTTCAGGGTTATAATTTAAATGAAATAGCACATGCCTCGCTTTGAGCATGGTGTCTGGTACATAGTTTGGTAGATATTAGTGCCGTATCTCCCTTCCAGAGCCCAGGAGGAATAACATTTTGGCCAGAAGGACTTAGGGATAAACAGTGTTTTTGCCAAGTCAGATAAGACAGGCATCAATTTGTACATTGTTGAAGCTCAGACCTACAATTTTAAAGCATGTGGAAGATACTAGAAAGTCGCCGACCTGCCCCTTGTCTGTGGACCCAACAAGGGGGAGCTGAGAAGAGCCCAGGCTCCGTGCCAGCCCCACCCGAGTTCCTGGGAAGGCAGCCTCTACAGTGCTACTTACACAGACACCCATTCCATAAAATAGCCCTTCTGGGCTTCAAGGTGCTTTCACGGACTGCATTTCCCGTGACCGTCACGGTATTTTGGAGAGGTGGGGTCACTGTCCCTCCGTAAAAGGCTGACACACCAGAGTCATGTAGTCTGAGTGTAGGAGCAGTGACCCAAATGGACCTTCGCTGCCCTGTTCCATGTTGCGTGTGGGGGCCATCTGGCCGTGACCATGGGGATCCCTGCCATTGCCACCGTGTGTGTCCTCACCCTTCTGTCCATCCACACGTCTGTCTTGGGGCGGCAGGCTTGGACAGCCAGCAGGACCATCCTAGCTAGAGGGGTCAGGCTGTGAGCCATTGTGTCCATGCTGGGGCCTCCAGCCAACTTCTTATGGGCTGGGTTCTTCTCATACAACCACAGCTGCGCCGTCTCGTTTCTCAGATGTCCTGCTTCCTTTCATGTCTCCTCAAACCCCAGAAGGAACCCACCACCTTCACCCCCTAAACCCGGCCCTCTCTCAGCATCCTCTCCTCTGTCAGTGACCCGACCACCCCGGTTTCCCAACTCAGAAACCGAGGCCCCAGTGCTGCCTCTTCCCTCTCCCTCAGCCCATTTCTAGCTGATGACCAAGTCCTTCCAGATCCACCTTCTACGTGATGACGGCACGGTCCCCTCTCCTCCCTGGGCTGTCCCGGCCTTCCTCTCATCTGGAATCGCTACTGTAGTTTCCTTCTTGCCCCCTCTACCTTTATCTCCAGGCTGCACTCGGAAATAGTTGGCAAGAACAAATCTGTTCAGACCGTCCCCTACGTAAAGGCCTTTCATGGTTTTCCCGGGGCCTTAAGTCAAGCCCACACTGTTTTCCATGCAGACCTCATCTCTCTGCCTCTCCCTTCTTCTTGCCACGTGCACACAGGGCTCATCTCAGAGTTTTGCGTGTACCCCTTTCTCTTGCACCTTTAGGGGCGGGCGCCTGTTCTTCGCCTCCACTGCTCTCTCTCTCTCCCCTTAAATCAGGCGAGCTGTAGCAGGTGTGACTGCTTCTCCACACCCCGAGACATCGCACCATGCCCGGCGCATCCCAGAAGGTCAGTGAAGGTTTCTAACCTCTTCCTCCTCTCCGCCGACCTCCTAGGCCAAGTTCGAGCTGATCATCTCTGAGGCTTCGTACCTGCGCAGCCTGAACGTGGCCGTGGACCACTTCCAGCTGTCCACGCAGCTCCGGGCCGCGCTGTCCAACCAGGATCACCAGTGGCTGTTCTCCCGTCTGCAGGACGTGCGTGACGTCAGCGCCACGTGAGACACCCCCATCTCAGTCTCGGAGGGCTGCGGCCCTTTAGAACAGAAAAGTCTTTTCTCACAGTTCAGGAGGTTAGAAGTCCACACCAGGGCATGGGGCCTAGGGGAAGGTGATCTTTGCGTGGCATCTGTTTTCCCCCACTGGTGCTTGCTTCTCTGCGTCTAATCTGCTCCTTTTATGGCTCAAAAGTCATTAAATTTAGGACACAACCTAGGCTGATACGGCCTCATTAACATAACAAAGAAAACCTTATTTCCAAATGGGATCACACCCACAGGTATGGGGTTAGGATTCGCACACATATTTTGGGGGACACGATTCAATCTGTAACACCCTCTTCTCCCGGATCTCACTCACTCTCCTCCCTCGCTTCGTCTGCAAACCCTGCCACAGTGGGGAGATACTGAGCCTCCCTCCCTGCAGACCCTGACCCCTCAGCAGTAGGAGAGCAGAGTGGTGGGTCTGGGGTGCACAGGTCCATTAATGGACAAACGAGCGAGTGAGGAAGCTTCCCGGCTGAGGTTTTGGATCTGCCGCAGGCACGCACTGCATCAGGATGAGGAGTGGGAAGCCTCTGCAGATCAGAAAACCAGGAAGGATCACAGGAAATGGAATATGAGGAGCAGCGAGGTAGATCAGGGCAACGAGGCCACTTTGGGATGAGCTCCAGGGAACAGCAGGGTGTGGAGCTGAGGACGGTCCACGGGGCTCACTGACAGTGAGAAGCAGCCACAGCCTCAGGGCAGGCGGCAGCAGGCCCAGCCACGTGTCTCAGGAGACCCGCTTGGTCCCGTGCAGGTTCCTCTCTGACCTGGAGGAGAACTTTGAGAACAACATCTTCACCTTCCACGTGTGCGACGTGGTCCTGAACCATGCCCCCCACTTCCGCCGGGTCTACTTGCCCTACGTCACCAACCAGACCTACCAGGAGCGCACCTTCCAGAGCCTGCTGTGAGGCCTGCCCTGCCCACCCACCCTCCGCCTCCCACCAAGCCCCCATCCCCAGCCTAGAGGATGGTCCCAGGGCAGGTTGTCTTTGCCTGCCCCGGGATCTCAGGCCCCCCCTCCAGATCAGATCTCCAGGGTCTCCTGAAGCCCGCTCCCCAGTCTCGGCTACCCAGACATCCATGGGCCCTCACACAGCCCCCTCCCCAGGCCTCACGGAGCAAGCCCCCACCCTTCATGGTGCCCCCCCCACCCCTCACCCGCCTGGTGCCCCTGCAGGAACAGTAACAGCCACTTCCGAGAGGTCCTGGAGAGGCTGGAGAGCGACCCTGTCTGCCAGCGCCTCTCCCTCAAGTCCTTCCTGATCCTGCCCTTCCAGCGCATCACCCGTCTCAAGCTGCTGCTCCAGGTGCCGCCCCACACATGAACCTCTCCCCATGGCTTCTTCATGTCCCCCTACACCCCTCTCCTGACCGTCCCATGCCCCCCCATTCCCCACACACACAATCCTCTCCACATAGCCACACGGCCTTCCCATGCCCCCCACCACGGCTCAACCCCACTGTCCCACACCCCTCATGGCCTTCTTCCCACTTTCCTCTCTCCACGGCTCCAAGCCCCTCAACACCCCCCACACACGGTCCTCTCCCCATGGCCCCACACCCCACGTGGCCCTCTGCCCACAGCCCCACACCTTCCTATCCAAAGTGGGGCCTCGGGAAGCCCATCTTGCCCATTCTGCAGCTGGGCAAAGGACTTCCTTTCCTGCACCCCTCCTGCACACCCTTGTGGCTGGGATGTACACAGGCCCCTCTGCCCCCACCCTGCTGGCCTTCCCCATTAACCCCCGACACCACCCCTCCTGTTTTCCATCCCCTTCCCATCTGGCTCCTTTCCACTCTCTGTCCTATAGAACATTCTGAAGAGAACACAGCCTGGCTCCTTGGAGGAGGCAGAGGCCACGAAGGCTCACCATGCCCTGGAGGAGGTAGGCAGCCACAGCTCCCTGTGTCCTCAGGGGCGTCCTCTGTGGGGAGCCCCACCCCTACCCAGGCACTGATTCCAGAGGGCACAGGAGTGGGACTCTGCTAAATGGGGAGCTCAGCCTCCCCCTGCATCTGCCAAACCTCCAGTGAGCACACCCACAGTCTCTCTGTCCGCCCCGAGGGACCGTGCTTTCACAACTGCAGCCCCCAGATTAAATCTCATTTCCACTGAGCCCAGAGCATTCCATCAGGTCGTACCGAGCACATCAGAGCTCTGACTTCACCCGGGCGCTCATCCACTCTCTCCCAGCCTGGTAGAGCAGTGTGGGCTCTCGCACCCTAGTTCCTTTTGAACCATTCCATTTTTTTTCAAGTCTCTGCCCCTAACACAATGCCTTCCCCTGTGCTCCCTGGCCCCACCCCAGCTGATCCGAGACTGCAACAGCAACGTCCAGAGGATGCGGAGGACCGAGGAGCTCATCTACCTGAGCCAGAAGATCGAGTTCGAGTGCAGAGTGAGTGGCCCCCACCCATGCCAAGACCACCCCTATTTGGAGACCACCCCCATCCCGTGCCCACCCTTGTCCCCAGACCACCCCTGTCCCCAGGCCACCCCCGTCCCAAGACCACCCCTGTCCCGTGACCTACCCCCATCTCGAGACCACCCCACATCACTGAGACCACCCCACATCCTGAGACACTCCCATCCCGAGACCACCCCACATCCCGAGACACCCCCATCCCAAGACCACCCCACATCCCGAGACACCCCTGTCCCAAAACCATCCCTGACCCATGACCTACCCCATCTCAAGACCACCCCACATCCTGAGACCACCTCCATCCCGAGACCACCCCCATCCCAAGACCACACCTGTCCTGAGACCACCTCTATCCCATGACCACCCCCTGCCCCATCCTGTGACCACTCCCTCATCTCGTGACCACCCTCCGCCCCATTCCGTGACCGCCCCCCATCTTGTGACCACCCCCCATCCTGTGACC